CAATAAGTATGCCCACTCCTGCTCGGCGCCTCTCACCAGGGGCAACTCCAGAGTGGAAGAGTGTCCAGCCCCTCTCAAGGAAACTGGTTCCAGAGCCAGAGCCATGCGTAGAGGTGAGTCCGACTATTTCTAGCCGGAACCTATCAGCCTCACACACCACCTCAGGCTCCTTCCCCACCAGTGAGGTGACATTCCACATCCCAATAGCCAGCTTCTGTAGCCGAGGATCAGACCGCCAGGGTCCCCGCCCTTGGCCACCACCCATCCCACATTGAACCCGACCCCTTTGGCCCCTCCCACAGGTGGTGAGCCCATGGGAAGGGGGACCCACGTCTCCTCTTCGGGCTGTGCCTGGCTGAGCTCCATGGGTAAAAGCCCGGCCACCAGGCGCTCGCCCGGGTGCCCCACCTCCAGGCCTGGCTCCAGAGTGGGGCCCCGGTGACCCACGTCTGGGCAAGGGAACATTAAGTCCATTTGTGTTTCTCATCATCGGGGTCTTTGTTTATTATCAGAATGTGGAAATGCATCCTTCAGGTCTATGGACACAAACAAATCACCTTGTGTCACATATTCGAGAACAAGTTTCACCATCAGCATGAGAGAGGGTCGTTCCATGATGAATTTGTTGAAAACAAACAGATCCAGAATTGTTCTGAACCCTCCCAGCTTCTTCGGAACCAGGAAGTACTGAGAGTAAAAACCGGCTTCCTCCTCTCCCGGGGGAACTCTGGAAATCACGTCTTTTTCCAGAAGTTTCTTCAGCTCTGATAGGAGGATTACGCCTTGTTCTAGGGATGTGAGATGGGATTCTAACACTCCGTTGAATTTTGGTGGTGTTTTTGCAAACTGCAGGGTGTAACCTTTGTGAATTAAATGATGCAAACATTTGTTCAAAGTGCATGTTTCCTGCCACACTGCGCTGCACTCCGAGAGTGGAAACGTGAATGTTTTGTTTAGCACGGAAAAACAATAACTGAGGACTGCAGATGGTTCAGGACCGACTGAAAATGAGGTCCAAAGAGGCCATCTGAGGACACAGGACCTTCCAAGAGTTCTTCTTTAACGTCTTCTGGGATGGATGGAGACAGTTTCAACCACATCTGTCTCTGCAGCAATGTTGCCCAGGACGAGATGCGGGCGGAGCACGCTGCAAGCGCCGCACACAGGTTGGTGATCATATCCGCAGCCACGTTGATCTGGTCCTAATCTGCAGAGGATGGGTTCAGTTCCTTCATCTCTTTAGTTATGCTAAGGGCTAGCATAGTGATGTTGTTGGTTGCTGCTCCCACCTGCGATGAGCACTGATGGTTTCTGTCCATCAGCTTTGCGGTGAGCTGGTCACCAGAGGATGGCAGGATGATAAGTTGGCAGATATATTTTGCTGCTCTTACCCCGAAAACAGCCGACAAACTAGGTTCTAGGGGAGGGACGGTGGGAAAAACCTGGTCCGTGAGCCCTTTGACTTTGGTGATGGCCGCGTAGGAGGCGACCGGAGCCCTCAGCTTTAAGGGATCGTTGGCTGAACCCAGGAGGAAGGCGGACACAGCCAGGAAACAGGGCCAGACTGGGTCCCGGTGCCTAATGTGCTGGGCAGCGAACCTTCCAGCCAGAAGGGTCGATGTGGCTGGGGCCGCCAGTTTGGGCACTTCCAGGTCACAGGCTCTCGCTGACCACCCAATTATCTCTGGGAGCTCGTGGAGCAGAGTGGTGGACGACCCCTGGACGCTCGGGGTGGGGGGTACCATCGAAGGCAACACCGGCTCCAAACCTCCTGTAAGGCAGAATGGAGCACGGCTGTTAGCTGTTTCAACTTCAGAGGGGGATGTGTTCGCTAACTTCGTGTCCAGGGAGTAAAAAAATTCCTTGAGCAAACAGTCCCCCCTTGGTTGAAACTTGACCTCCTCAGCGGAAAAGAGCTCACACCAGCGCTGCTTCTCCACAGCCGAAAAAAGTTTACACGCTTGACAAGAGAAGAGCGGATCCAAAGCTTGCCGAGCGTGGTCAGCTCCCAGGCAGCTTTCACACACAACGTGCAGGTCCGTTGATAAGATGTAGCCCGTCTGGCACACGGGGCACAGACGGATGGTCTGCGATTTCTTAATTGAAGTCATCATTCTTCTTCTTTTCTTTCTATTATTGTTTCGTAGAAGTAGTGTTCTTAGAGTTGGCTGAAGAAAAACGAGAATCGAGCTCCGGTCCAGATGCAATTTATAACAGACCAGGCGGGGCCCACACAGAGGTGGGCGTGGACTAGAAGTTTTCAGTGTTCGGCGCGCTGTGCGTGGGTAAACCCAATAGCGACAGCTTTTAAAGGGCGTAGCTTACACAAAATAGAACTTGTAACAAGATGAGATCCTCATTACTAGGTTGGAACAGTGGGTCGGCATCACAGGATCAGCCCTCAATTGGTTCAGATCTTACCTCACTGACCGATCCTTTTGTGTCTCCATCAAGGATTTTAGTTCTGCAGAGGCAGAGCTTAAATGGGGGGTTCCGCAGGGGTCCATACTGGGTCCCCTCCTATTCTCTTTATACCTGCTGCCGCTTGGTGCTATTTTCCGGAAACACAACATGCCCTTCCACTTCTATGCCAATGACTGTCAAATTTACTTCCCCCTAAGACACAATGGTACATGCTCTATTCAACCGCTGCTCAACTGCCTGGTTGACATCAGGGACTGGATGGCTTTAAACTTCTTAAGGTTCAATGAAAAGAAGTCTGAAGTCATGTTGTTCCCTCCCATCGACACGATCACAAACCACTGCATCGACCGTTCCACTCTAACCCTGTCAAAAAAACAAAGAGTCACTAATCTGGGCGTGATAATGGACCCTTCCCTGAAACTTAACAATCATGTAAACATGATCGTTAAATCATGCTTCTTCCAACTGAGGCGGCTGTCTAAACTGAAGCCCATTTTGTCCAAAAATAACCTGGAAACAGTAATACATGCATTCATTACATCTAGGCTTGATTACTGCAATTCGCTCCTGTTTGGTATCAGTCAGACCTCCATTGCACGACTACAACTGGTCCAGAATGCAGCAGCATGATTTTTAACCAGTACAGGCAAAAGAGAGCACATTACACCAGTTTTGGCCTCACTGCACTGGTTACCGTTCACGTTCGAATCCAGTTCAAAATACTCATGTATGTCTATAAATCACTGAACAGTGTCGCCACCCCCTATCTCTCTGATTTGCTACAACCGTATGTCCCAACACGCTCCCTGAGGTCAGCGGACCAGCTGCTCCTCACAGTTCCAGGAACTCATCTTCAGCACAGAGGTGACAGGGCCTTCTCTGTAGCAGGACCAAGACTCTGGAACGAGTTACCTCTGCTTGTCAGACAGACCCCCTCCCTCTCGGTTTTCAAGTCCCATTTAAAAATGCACTACTATTCAATAGCTTTCAACTCAAGATGATCTGTGTTTTGATCCTGTATGCTCCACACTGGTTTGTCGTCATTATCTGCATCGTTTTTTTGTCTATATTCTGATTTACCTCATTTTCTATTTTGCTTTGTGTTTTACCTGTTGTTTTGTCTGTACAGCACTTTGGTTGGCTTTGTAGCTGTTTTAAGTGCTTTATAAATAAAGTGGTATGGTATGGTATACCAATGTATTTATAGAGCACTTAAAACAGCAACAATGCCAACCAAAGTGCTGTACAATAGAAACAAACAAGCATAGCGGACAAGAAAACATAAAATAACATTATAGATACAAAAAGCAGTGGATAATAACTGAATGGCCAACACTGTGGACTACAGACAGGATCAAACAAATCACACTGTGTCAAAGGCAAGGGAATAAAAGTGGGTTTTCAGGTGAGACTTAAAGACTGAGTATGGGAACCTGCCTGACACGCAGTGGCAACTCATTCCACAGTCTTGGACCTGCAACAGAGAAAACCCTGTCACCTCTGAGCTTGCAATGAGTTTCTGGAACTGAAAGGAGCATCTGGTCTGCTGACCTCAGAGAGGGCGGTGGGACATACGGCTGTAGAAGATCAGTGAGATAGGATGGGGCAGAACTGTTCAGTGATTTAAAAACATACATGAGTATATTGAACTGGATCTGAAGGTGAATGGGTAGCCATTGTAGGGAGGCCAAAACTTGAGTAATCTGCTCTCTATGGCCTGTACCAATTAAAAATCAGGCTGCAGCATTTTGGACCAGTTGTAGACGTGCAATGGAGGATTGATTGATTCCAAACAGAAGCGCATTGCAGTAATCGAGCCTGGATGTTATGAATGCATGGATCACTGTCTCAAGATTCTTTTTGGACAGTATGGGCTTCAGCTTAGACAGTCGCCTCAGCTGAAAAAAACAGGATTTAACAATCATGTTTACATGACTGTTAAGTTTCAAGGAAGGGCCCATTATCAATCCCAGATTAGTGAGTCTTTGGGAGTTAGTGTCTTGGGAGCTCTGTCCTGAGGAGCTTCTATCGTTGTGTGGTGAAGAGCATTCTCTGCCCCTGCATCACCGTGTGGCACAGCAACTGCACTGCTGCTGAGAGGACAGCTATGCAGAGGGTGGTTAAGGCTGCACAAAAGACTGTGGGGAGCAGCATTTCCACCAACTCGGACCGCTACACTTCACGATGCAGGGGGAGGGTGCTCCGCATCATGAAGGACTCCACTCATCCTGCACACAGTCTGTTCCAGCCCCTCCCCTCAAACAGGCGGCTGAGGAGCATTCAGAGCAAGACCACTAGCTCAGAAAGTTACTTCCCTGCAGCTGTCAGACTGCTGAACTTGAGTTGAACTTAATTCAGCTTCATCTTACTTTTTTAAAATTTATTATATTTGTACTCTTTTGCATTTATTTATTTGTTAATTGTTAGGCTTCTTGATCTGGGACCTGAGTCCAAATTTCGTACCGCAAACATGAAAATGTGAGCTGGTATGACAATAAAAAGAATCCTTGAATTCTTAAATGATCATCAATAAATGATGCACATGAACACCAGCATGGACTGAGAATGATTGTCACCTTCAATGAGGAATGGCTTCTTGTCATTAATGTACATCAGACAGTAGGCACTGGCATTGCGGTAGCCCCCAAAAGAGTCCCTGACCAGCTCCTCCCAGGATGACTTAGTGACGGAGATGTCATTGTACTTCATCCAGCAGCACTGATGGGGGTTGTAGATATACGCCCAGTAGTGACCTGCATTGGCCTGGCCTTCATGGACCAGCACTGCATGAAGCCGATAAGGAACCTGCAAAAATAAAAATAAAATTAGAAATGCAGAAAAATAAATGGAACAGATGAGGGATGAGTGTTTTTGTAACCAGTGCCCACCTGCATCATAGATTTATCAGAGTACATTAAATCAATAGTTCTGTGGATTCGCGTTATACTGCCTTGCAGATCTGTCAAGAAGAACATCACATACATTATGTTATATTTTTTGTAATATTTCATAAAAAGAAGGAGAAGAAGAGTCCAGCTAAAGAATTACCTAGGGTGTCGTTCTCTACCTCACTCCTCCAGCGATGTAAGCAGCTCTCAAGCACCCTTAGCTCTTCTTCAGTGATGTGGCGTGGGGCAGGGTGCATGGGAAGGTCGGGTGGTAGTCGGGACTGAGTAAACGGCTTATGAACAGGTACTCTCTGCTGCAGGGCTGCAGTGGGGGTTGAGGCAGGGCCTGAACTCTCTACAGAAGGTAAGGAATCCTGCTCAGCTGTGCTGCAGAGAGAAAACCAGAGTGATGTCAGTGAAATGCAACAATATACAGACAGTTTGTGTTGTCTGGACTGTGGATTGTTATCACCCCGCTTTCTCTACTTCACGGAATCTTGGATGTCTCCCGGTGAGTCCAGCGCCTTGACGGAATTATTAACGAACGAGTTACCTCTGCATGTCAGACAGGCCCCCTCCCTCAGTTTTTAAATCCTGCTTAAAACCCCACTTCTATTCCCTGGCTTTCAACACCAGATGATTTGTGCTGATCCTGTATGCATCACACTGTGTTAGTCATTATGTTATTATCTGTTATTATTTTGTTTCTATATTATGATTTAATGATATGTTTTGTGTTGCTGTGTGCTCTGCCTGTTTGTTTGTTTGTACAGCACTTTGGTTGGCCTTGTCGCTGTTTAAAGTGCTCTAAAAATAAAATGGTATGGTATGGTATGAAAGGCAAAAAAAAAAGGTGATTATGTTTTTACCTGTGTCTGCGTTTGTCTGTCTCCTAGCAAATGTATCATAAACCACTAAATGGATTTTAATGAAACTCAAGAAAAGAATCCCTGCAATACATCCAAGACTCTAAAAAAGTTAAATCAGGTCCTCTGGACATTAAAAAAAAAAAAAGTAGAAACGTTTTGTCTTTCATCCAAATGACTTCTTCAGTTTGAGGTGGTGTATTCAGCTGAGCCTTATAAATAGCACCTTCTCAGAGTGGATCCACCAGTTTGCTGCTGACAACCAAAACTATCTGCTCACATGATCAAGAAGAACCATCAGTCTAACGATGGATCATTAGCACCCTGATGGCTGGCAGCTCAGAACATCACATACAGAACACCATGGACTTTGTGGATAAGGTGAGGGATGTCATCATGGAGACTGATGAAACAATGGTCTCTTTTGATGTCACATCACTCTTTATGTGCATTCCTGTTGATGATGCAGTAGAGGTGGTCAGTTTAAGATTAAAATCAGACACCACTCTGAGCAGCAGGACCACGCTTTCCACAGAACCACTGTGTCAACTCTTGAAACTGTGCCTGCAGTCAACCTACTTCACACATGGGGAGCAATATTATAGGCAGAAACATGGGTGTGCTATGGGGTCTCCAGTTTCTCCTATTGTTGCCAACCTGTACATGGAGGAGGTAGAAAAGAGAGCCTTGACGTCCTTTTCAGGGACACCACCAAGTCATTGGTTCAGGTATGTTGACGACACCTGGGTTAAAATTAAATCTCAGGAAGTCCAACATTTTACTGACCACATCAACTCTGTGGATAAATACATCAAGTTCACACGAGAAGATGTAAAAAATGGCAGGTTAGCTTTCTTGGACTATGAGGTCTCAGTCTCTGATAGAGGACATTTGCAAACTGGGGTGTACCTCAAACCCACCCACACAAACCAGTATTTGCAGTTTGACTCCCATCACCCTTTGGAGCACAAGTTAGGAGTCATCAGGACTCTATCACAGAGCAGACAGCATACCCACTAACTCAGGAGCCAGGCAGAAGGAGAAATCCCACACAAGACAGGCTCTAGAGCAATGTGGATATCCTAACTGGGCCTTCCTGAAAGAAGAAACCCAAACAGGGCTCCAGTCAGCCATCAGGTGAAAAGGAGGAACCCAGACCAGTGGTCATTCCGTATGTTGAGGGAGTATCAGAGAAACTGAGACGTTTATTTTATAAACACAACATCTCAGTGGCTTTTAAACCCCAAAATACAGTGCCTTGCAAACGTATTCGGCCCCCTTGAACTTTTCAACCTTTTGCCACATTTCAGGCTTCAAACAAAAAGATAAAATTTTTTATTTTTTTGTGAAGAATCAACAACAAGTGGGACACAATCGTGAAGTGGAGTGAAATTTATTGGATTTGTCAAACTTTTTTAACAAATAAAAAACTGAAAAGTGGGGCTTGCAATATTATTCGTCCCCCTTGCGTTAATACTTTGTAGCTCCGCCTCTTGCTGCAGTTCCAGCTGCAAGTCTCTTGGGGTTTGTCTCTATCAGTTTTGCACATGTAGAGACTGAAATTCTGCCCATTCTTCCTGCAAAACAGCTCAAGCTCAGTGAGGTTGGATGGAGAGCATTTGTGAACAGCAGTCTTCAGCTCTTTCCACAGATTCTCGATTGGATTCAGGTCTGGACTTTGACTTGGCCATTCCAACACCTGGATACGTTTATTTGTGAACCATTCCATTGTAGATTTGACTTTATGTTTTGGATCATTGTCTTGTTGGAAGATAAATCTCCGTCCCAGTCTCAGGTCTCTTGCAGACTCAAACAGGTTTTCTTCCAGAATGGTCCTGTGTTTGGCCTCATCCATTTTCCCATCAACTCTGACCATCTTCCCTGTCCCTGCTGATGAAAAGCAGGCCCAAACCATGATGCTGCCACCACCATGTTTGACAGTGGGGATGGTGTGTTCAGGGTGATGAGCTGTGTTGCTTTTACGTCAAACATATCGTTTTGCATTGTGGCCAAACAGTTGGATTTTGGTTTCATGTGACCAGAGCACCTTCTTCCACATGTTTGGTGTCTCCCAGGTGACAAACTTTAAACAACACTTTTTATGGATATCTTTGAGAAATGGCTTTCTTCTTGCCACTCTTCCATAAAGGCCAGATTTGTGCAGTGTACGACTGATTGTTGTCCTATGGACAGACTCTCCCACCTCAGCTGTAGATCTCTGCAGTTCATCCAGAGTGATCATGGGCCTCTTGGCTGCACCTCTGATCAGTCTTCTCCTTGTTCCAGATTAAAGTTTAGAGGGACGTCCGGGTCTTGGTAGATTTGCAGTGGTCTGATACTCCTTCCATTTCAATATGATTGCTTGCACAGTGCTCCTTGGGATGTTTAAAGCTTGGGAAATTTTTTTGTATCCAAATCCGGCTTTAAACTTCTCCACAACAGTATCTCGGACCTGCCTGGTGTGTTCCTTGGGCTTCATGATGCTCTCTGCGCTTTGAACAGAACCCTGAGACTATCACAGAGCAGGTGCATTTATACGGAGACTTGATTACACACAGGTGGATTTTATTTGTCATCATAAGTCATTTGGGACAACATTGGATCATTCATAGATCCTCACTGAACTTCTGGACTGAGTTTGCTGCTCTGAAAGTAAAGAGGCCCAATAATACTGCACGCCCCACTTTTCAGTTTTTTATTTGTTAAAAAAGTTTGACACATCCAATAAATTTCATTCTACTTGACGATTGTGTCCCACTTGTTGTTAATTCTTCACAAAAAAATTTTTTTTTTAATGTATTTACGTTTTGAAGCCTGAAATTTGGTAAAAGGTTGAAAAGTTCAAGGGGGCCGAATACTTTTGCAAGGCACTGTATATTACGGCAAAGACTGGTTCATCCCAAAGATCCAGTCCCCCGGCACAAACAGAGTAATATTGTGTATGTTGTTCAGTGTCAGGAGGGTGATCAGTCTTACATCGGGGAAAATAAACAGCCACTGGCCAAAAGGATGGACCAGCACAGAAGATCAACATCATCAGGCCAGGACTCTGAGGTCTACACTCACCTAATCTAGTAAAGGAGGCCATCTTTGTGAAAAGAAATTGTCCCATCATTAAACAGGGGTGGAGCCTCCAGGTTCAACTGTCCCCCTCTTACAATGCTGTGATTGCTAGTATCACTCAGCCCCAGTGAACAGTAAACAGCCATCAGGTGCTAATGATCCATTGTTAGGCTGATGGTCCTTCTTGAGCATGTGATCAGCTGGTTTTGGTTGTCAGCAGCAAACTGGTTGATCCACTCTGAGAAGATGCCATTTATAAGACTGAGCTGAATACAGCACCTCAGATTGAGGAAGTCTTTTGGATCGAAGACGAAACGTTTCTAAATTTTTTTATTGTTTTGCTTTGTTTTATTTTTTTGAATGTCCAGAGGACCAGATTTAACTTTTTTAGATTTTTCTACCTGGATTATTGAGCATGCATCAGGATACATCCAAGACTGCTTACTTTCTGAAGCCAATTCTATGCAAGATGGCTGTCACAACTAATGAAACCTAGCAAACACTAAAATTATTATAAAAAAGCCAACTGAATACATACTTAACTAAAGTTTTATATGGTAGTGGCTGAGTGTCATTCCTACACATACTCTGAGCAGTAACTGATTGTATAAGCTCTCACAGTACCTGTACTACGGGCCTGAGTGACTTGGTTTTTTAAGGTATTAAGCACATGCATTAAATTGAAAATGCCTCAACCTCAGAAGTGCACTGCTGATAGATCTGCACTCCCAGCTCACTTCATTCTTTACAATAACTGAGTGTGTTTCATGTACAGTAAGTAGCATCGAACATTACTGGATGAGCGGTGATGGGTGGATATATTTTGGTCTACCCCCAAATTTCTGTCCAACCATTTCTTTATATTTCTTTATATCTGCAGGTGTGTGATGTGCAGATAACTGCAGCTTCACCCCCCCCCCCCCACACATCCAACTTTGTCTTTCCATCTTTACAAGAACTTTGCATTGACTTCCATTTAGTTTTCATTCATTTCCATAGCCTAACACTGACCCTTACACTAAACTTATGCCCCTTTTCCATTAGTACCTGTAGTACCGGTACAGCACGGCTCTACTCTACTCGGTATGGTACAGGTTGTGTTTCCATTATACTTTCAGTACCGTTTCCAGTGGGCGGGGTTCAAATTGACGTCACCACACCTCACCAGCTGTTGGCGCTGAGACGCTTAAACGGTTTTCAGTACAGGGTGAGAATTTATGTGATTTTGAAGTTGTGTGTATGTATATATATATATATATATATATATATATATGAACACACACACATATTTACATATTTATATGTATATACACACATATATATATATATATATATATATATATATATATATATACACACACAAATATATATGTACACACATATATGTGTGTATATATACACACACATATATAAATATCACACATATATGTATGTACACACAAATATGCACACATACAG